TGAGTCAATGAGTGAGTCAGTGAGTGAGTGAGTGAGTGAGTGAGTCAGTGAGTGAGTGAGTGAGTGAGTGAGTGAGTCAGTGAGTGAGTGTGTGAGTGAGTGAGTGAGTCAATGAGTGAGTCAGTGAGTGAGTGAGTGAGTGAGTCAGTGAGTGAGTGAGTGAGTCAGTGAGTGAGTGAGTGAGTGAGTGAGTGAGTGAGTGAGTCAGTGAGTGAGTGTGTGAGTGAGTGAGTGAGTCAATGAGTGAGTCAGTGAGTGAGTGAGTGAGTGAGTCAATGAGTGAGTGTGTGAGTGAGTGAGTGAGTCAATGAGTGAGTGAGTGAGTGAGTCAGTGAGTGAGTGTGTGTGTGAGTGAGTGAGTCAATGAGTGAGTCAGTGAGTGAGTGAGTGAGTCAGTGAGTGAGTGAGTGAGTGAGTGAGTGAGTGAGTGAGTGAGTGAGTCAGTGAGTGAGTGAGTCAATGAGTGAGTCAGTGAGTGTGTGAGTGAGTGTGTGTGTGTGAGACAGATACCTTCCACTGAGATGTCCTGGATGGCAAAGCGGAGGATGATGGTCCAGATCATTCCCAGAGTCATCTTCACATTTCCATCAACAATCTCTGAGGACCCAACAGACGACACACTTGAGTTTGACCTCTCGCATGCAAATAACTGTAAAATTAAAGCACAAGTTCGGTATTTTACAATTAAAGCCCTATTTTAAGATCGTCCCTGATGAAATAAAATGGTGAAGATTGTTTTTTAGACAGATGCTGCTGTCACGAGAATTTTTGGATTCTGTGTTACCTTTATAATGAAAGCATAGGTGCACTCGAACAATCATTCATAAAAACGCATAAAACTTTAGTTTACAAAGACGTGAAACTCACCGAGTGGTCTGGGGGGTTCACTGATATGCTCACACAAACATCGCTGCAAAAGATGCTTTCCAACAGGTTTTATCGTAGTCCATTTTCTTCCTGTTTTCGGTCGAAGGCCACAGTAGTCGATTGTCGAGTTCACGTGCGCGATCCTTAGTTATCTAGTTACCAATGATCGCGCACGTGAACTCGACAATTTATTACTGTGGACTTCGACCGAAAACAGGAAGAAAATGGACTACGATAAAACCTGTTGGAAAGCATCTTTTGCAGCGATGTTTGTGTGAGCATATCAGTGAACCCCCCAGACCACTCGGTGAGTTTCACGTCTTTGTAAACTAAAGTTTTATGCGTTTTTATGAATGATTGTTCGAGTGCACCTATGCTTTCATTATAAAGGTAACACAGAATCCAAAAATTCTCGTGACAGCAGCATCTGTCTAAAAAACAATCTTCACCATTTTATTTCATCAGGGACGATCTTAAAACAGGGCTTTAATTGTAAAATACCGAACTTGTGCTTTAAGCTTCTAAAACTCTTTTACTCTCGTTCTGTTGAAGTGCTTCTGCAATAATCTGCTGCTGAGTGTCTTAATCTTCTTATACAGACCAAACGAAGCATTCATGAACTACAACCTGATCTACAGTCGAACCAGAATGTATCTTAACCTTTACTCGCTCACCTCTCCTCATAACTACAGTAAAAAAGAAAATACAAAATGATATCTGGTGTCTGAATAATGTTTGGTTTGACTGTGTGATGATGAGCAGGAGCGTCTCTCACCCTCAGCGCCGATGGACACCAGTTTGACCCCTTTACTGGTGATGTACTCCAGAGCCTTGTTCACATTGGCTATCTTGTGGAAGCGCATCTTTCCTCGGTCTGGTTTGGGAAGCCTTTCACCTGGAAGAAAAGAGTGAGTGAGCGAGAGAGAGAGAGAGAGAGAGACCTGCAGACTGAACTGTACCTGAGATGACCTCCAACAGTAACATCAGCTTCAGTCCGTTCCTGAAGTCCTCCTCGATGTTCTCGATCTGAGTTCCCGCTTTCCGAAGGTGAGAGTTACACCAGGCGGTGAATGTCTGAGAGAGCAGATTATCATCTGGCATTTATTATGACACGTGCTTCATTTATTGAGAGTGACTTCAGTTTCAAGGAGTAGTTCACGTTTAAAAAAACTTTTCCTGATAATTTACTCGCCCCCGTGTCATCCAAGATGTCCATGTCTTTCTTTCTTCAGTCGAAAAGAAATGAAGGTTTTTGATGAAAACATTCCAGGATTTTCTCCATATAATGGACTTCAATGGGGTCCAAACGGTTCAAGGTCCAAATGAGAGTTTCAGTGCAAACTGTTCAAAGGCCTTTAAACGACACCAGACGATGAATAAGGGTCTTAGGACACTTCGAGCCATGACACGGAAAAAGATTTGTTCATTTTGATGAACGAGTTCGAACAGGAGAGTCACGAACGCGCATCACAGAACAGAGCAAGGCGAGCATTTGAGCTTATAAAACTTAAACTTTGTTATTTATTTATTAAATGAGCGCTCGTTTCGCTTGATAAGACCCTTATTCATCGTCTGGAATCGTTTAAAGCCCTTTGAACAGTTTGCACTGAAAGTTTGGAAAAGTTTTGAACCGTTTGGACCCCATTGAAGTCCATTATATGGAGAAAAATCCTGAAATGTTTTCATCAAAAACCTTCATTTCTTTTCGACTGAAGAAAGAAAGACATGGACATCTTGGATGACACGGGGGCGAGTAAATTATCAGCTAAAGTTTTTTTCAAAAGTGAACTACTCCTTTAAATTGTGAATTTCATATCTGATTGTGAGTTTGTTCTGGAGAATATACTTAAAACAGAGTACATCTATTTGGCAAATGCTTATCATCAAAACAAAAGCTGGTCACGCATGTCATGCCCGAGCACACAATGTCCTGTCAGTGACCGACAGCGGGTCCGATGTTCCCTCGAGTCGTAAATCACACGCGTTCCCTGAAATATGAGTGAAGCTTTAAAGAGAAGTGCACATGCCAGAGGGAAAACCACTCCTGGTGACACACACACACACACACACACACACTCACGCCGGTCAGTTCACACAGCCGCGAGGCGTGAGATTTATTCAATGCACAACCCCGCAATTCACAATTTAAGTGGTACATCTAGTTAAACAACATGCTTTTTTAAACGAAATCATGAATGCATTGCGTTGCAAAATGTTGGAGTTTCTATTAACTTTACAGTGTAGGGTGACCTGTCCTGTTTTCATATAACAATATAACAATTTTCTATGCATTCAGAGGAGGCAACCTCCTTTAAATGTATTGAAATTAATAAGGTATCTTTGAGTAAACTTCGAGTATCATTTGAGTTGGCCCATGTGTTTGCTGGGCCGAGTGTCCTGGTTTTTGGTAATCAATATATGGTCACCGTACTTTACAGGTAATTAATGGACCCACATATTCGAGATATGCATGACAAAATAATTAATCGCCTCTGAATCTGATTCGCATAAAGTGCTACTTTGAGTGTCAGTCCAGATCTAAAGATGCTGACATTGAAGAGTTTATTGTGTGTGTGTGTGTGTGTGTGTGTCGACGGAGGATGTATTTAGCTCGCGCACCTCAGTCCTCACAGACACAATAGAGACGCTCGTCTCACGCACACACACACACACACACACTCCTGTGGTTCAGCCTATATTCTCTCTGTGTTGTCAGACGGGTATTTCTATTTGTATCCTGATTTCCATTGTGGAGAAACCGACTCTCACGTGTATAAATGGAGAGTTGCGTTCAGGACGTCTTACAATGAACGAGTATTTCGCTTAGGCCTTCATTCCCATTAAGTTCTGAAAATAACATTTCTCAATGTCTGAACGTCCGAGTTGTCCTTTTAAAAATGAATGCTTTTTTTTCTTTGCTATATTAGTTATTTATTTAGTTAGTTATTTTGTAAACATTTGGGAACGTTACTTTTAAATGTTCTCTGAACGCTCTGAAACTAGTAACATTTCAAAAGATGTTCCACGAACGTCCAACTGAGGTGACTTTGAGAGAACCCTAAAAAACGGGTCAGCTTAAAAGGAAAGGTGAAATAGTTTGGCGGGTGTTTGACTTTGACACACACACACACACACAAGTGAGTTCGGCATCAAGGACAGTGGATTAGAGAGACGAACGTTCCTCAGATAAAATTAGAGCATCATCATGTGTTATAGCGCATCTGTCCACAGGTGTCCACACACACACACACACACACACACACACACACACACACACACACACACACACACACACAGAGAGAGAGAGAGAGAGAGAGAGAGAGAGAGAGAGAGAGAGAGAAAATGAGCTCTCTCGCTCACACTCTCTCTCACACACTCACACACACACTTAGAGCTTGTTAGGGGATACACACAAACAAACAAACACACACACACACACACACACACACAAACAAACAAACACACAAACAAACAAACAAACACACACACACTCTCTCACACACACACACACACACACACACACACACACAGTAGTTTATTGTCAATTTATTTATTTCTTGGATCGAATTTTGCGCTATCCAACTGGTTATTTCAATTACCTTTTTTAAAATTCTTCTACTCCATCTGCACTATAATTATCGTAGTTAGACTCAGTTTTAGGGATGCACAGTGTTAGTCATGAACTCTGACCTTCCTCTGCTGTTTCTCCCACGCGGGGTCGAGCAACATGTCTCTGTCCCACTCATCCTCCTGGATCATGTACTCCTCCACAACATACCCGTTATTATTATTATTATACTGCATCTCCATCGTCATCATCATGATCGAGCAGCAGCGTCTCTCTCTCTCTGATCCTGCTGTGTGTGTGTCAGCCTCTCTCTCTCCAATCCTGCTGTGTGTGTCAGTCTCTCTCTCTCTCCACTGCTGCGGTGACGTCGACTCCCACCGGCTGCACACGTGACCAAAGAAATCTACTTCCACATAATCACAATCAGTGTTCTCCAAATTTTAAGGACTGTATTGGTGAATATAATATTAAAAAACGTATTATTCGAATTTATAAAACTAAAAGGCAGTTTTATAAATCATTAAAATGAATCAAGGGGCGGAGCTTCCCGTGGTTGCTACGCAACGCGTACCTCTATAACCGCCGTGTTAAGAGCGCATAAGAGCGCGAAGCGAATGAAAGAGAAAAACGAACAGAAAACAAAACAAACTCTCACATTTTTATTATAACTGTATGCGTGAGATACATACGATCTGGTTTAAGGTATTATTAGACCGAGATTAGATCGAGCTGAACAGCGGTGAGTGAGTCTTCTTCTTCATGGAATGAAAACACACACTCTAACTAACAAACATTAATGTTAAGATGGCTGACGTGACGTTTTTATTTAAGTTAATTTAATTCAGCACCTCTTTTTATCTGTGTTTAGTGTCTCATACTGAGAGAAGAAATGGAGAGTTATGAGCATTTTTACAGCAGGACACTGAAGACGCTGTGTGACACTCACTGCAGTACCGCTCCTCCGCAGCAGAGGGCGCTGTGTAACATTCACTTCCACGGCAGGAGACTGCTAGAGCCAGTGGTGAGAGAGAGCCACGCTGAACTCATGTGACCCTTCATGATAAATAATATAATAATGCTGCATATTACTGTAATATACGGATGAACTCTGGTTAACATAGACTAAGATAAACAGACAGATCTTGACATATGTACATCACGTCTAGTCCAGGGGTTTTAGAGAAAAACAGTATAAAAAAAGTAAATATTAAAGTAAATAAATACAAATAGATCAAATAAATAAGCACATGATTAAATAATTTAATAATAAATCTAACAGTACAGAACTATAATTAGTAAATAAAAATAAGATTAAAATAAATAAAAATGAAATTACATTATTAAATAGCTAATATAAAAATAATATTAAAATGAAAATAAAAGTAAATAAATAAAAATAGATACAATTTTAACTAATAAATAAGTAATTTACTAATAAATGTAACAGTACAGAACTATAATGAGTAAATAAGATTAAAATAAATAAGAACATAAAGAAAAAAATAAAGAAATAACTGCGTGTTTAAACAAATAAAAAATAAACAGTACACAATTATTATGCATAAATAAAAATAAGATAAAAAAATAAAAGTGTAGGCCTATATTACAATAAAATAAGTAAAAATAGGGGAAAAACTAAATACATGATTAAATAATAAATGGAACAACACAGAACTATAATAAGTAGAAGTACTTACTTGTGACCTAACAACAAAATATTTGTGTGCCTGTGTGTGTGTGTGTATGTTGTGTGACACCACGGTTGCATAGCGACAGAATATCGAGCGAGTGAATATCTGTTAATCAACACAGTAATGAGTCTGACTGACCGGCTGAAACCAGTTCCGGCAGGATTAACCCTCTGGGGTTGTTTGGCCCAAATGGACCCGAAGAATTTAAATACATTTTTTTTTTTTTAAATCACAGCTTCTTCGGAATGGTCAAAAATTTGGTGACTTTGTTGGTATTTGGTATTTGAACACCCCAAAAAATTGGGGACAGGATGTGAATAGTCTAAGTGGTTGTAAAAAAAATAGTCACACTTGGGGTGTTCGGGTCCAAATGGACCCGTATGGAAAATGAATGGGAAATTGGCAAAAATGTGAGTTTTTTTGTGCGTACAATCTACAAATCAGCCACGATCTTGAAAAAAGCACACAACAGTGAAGGGGTGAATCTATAAAACATCAAGAGTGTAAAACAGACACATCCAGACACACAAACACACTTTTATACACAAACACACCAAAAAATTAAGATTATACATGTGTTTTACATTTTTAAAATGCTCAGTTTGACATCCATCTCATTTCAAAAATTACTTTTATGAGGCCTAGGCTTGACTCTAAAATGAAATACAGCTTTAAAATTATTTTTAAAAAATATATTTTTTAAAATATTTTTTCTATTATGTTCAATGGGGGGAAATTTTGTCATAATTATTGCATTAATACTAATTATACATTTTTTTTATTTTTGAAATTTTCTCAAAACACCAAAAAAGAAAAGAAAAAATATTATAAAAAACAAGTAAAAAAAAAAAAAATCATGATTTTTTTTTTAAAATATGAATCCCGCCCTTTGGGTCCATTTGGACCCGAATACCCCGAGTGTGACCCCAGAGGATTAAACGTTCATAAATACGATGTGTTCCAGACGGATGAGAATACACACAGATGATTGTAAACAAGTCTCTAATGGCTGCTTGTGTGTGTGTTTGCGCAGCTGAGCGAAGATCAGCGTGTTCAGGTGTGTGAAGACAGACGGAAAGCCATGGAGAGAGAGAGCAGGAGACACACACACACTCTTCTGCAGAGAGTGCAGGACATACTCAACAACATCCATGTGAGTTCACGGACACACACAGACACACACACTCTTGAAGAAATGTGTATCCTCCTTTCTTTTCCTCAGAGCGCAGCGTCGTCCACCCCAGACCCGTCGACCCGCTCCGTGACCCCGGGTCAGAACCAGAGTCTGAAGAGAGAGACGCTTCGCCTGCTCAACCAGCGCATGGCGTCCGATGACGAGTCCACCCTGGCCTCTCTCTCTCTCAGTCTGACGGGCTCGTACGCCCAGTTACCTTGTCCTCAGCCGAGCCGTAGCCCTGACACACACCGAGCTCGGAGACCGCCAACACACCCCGCCGGAAACATCCTCATCTCTCGACCCGTCAGCGAGTGTGAGCTCAGAGCGAGTGCTTCTGAACATCCGTCTGAAAGTGGGGATAATAAAGCGAAACCCGGTTCTGCAGCGGCGTCTGCTGCCCCCTCTGGTGCCGAACGGAACTGCAGCGGCTCCACTGACGGACAGCTGTCAATCATTACCTGCACTCACAGCAGCCTCAGGTCAGGTGCAGCACGAGCCGGACCGCTCAACCGCTCCTATGATGTGGAGAACCCCTCGCCATCTCTGAGCAGACCTCAGATCAGTGTGACGGAGCAGACTGCAGGTCAGCGTGACGCCAGGGTCACGGGGTCACCTGTTAGTGTGGGGGGGCGAACGAAGCGTCTCTGCCGTCTCACCGCCGTGGCTCGAGGGTTTCTCACACGCAGGCTTCTACACACGGAGAAAATCACACACCTGCGCAAAACCGTACAGGTAAAGACACACACGCTCACACACTAATACTTCCTGAACGTCAGTCAGTCAGAATGTGTGTGTGTGTGTGTGTGTGTTTCAGGACTCCAGAGCGTTCATCCACCAGCTGAAGACCGTCTCCGTCTCCCATCAGGACCTGACGCTGCAGCAGCGAGTCACAGCGCAGGTAACACACACACACACACACACACACACACTCTGCCCTGTTGATGTGTGATGTTTGTGTGGTGTGTCACAGCTGCGGTCCGCGCTCCAGGACGTCCATCAGATCTTCTTCATCTGGCCTTTGAGGGACAGACTTCATCTAATGCAGCAGGACAGAGAGAGACGCAGAGAGAGGACGCTCAGAGAGATGGTACACACACACACACACACACACTCACAGTCAGTGTTGGGGAAGTTATGCATTACAATATTGCGGTACTTCTTATGGATTAGTTTTGCGTTAGTTTTTCTCGTCTGGGCTGGGCTTGCTTGTTTGTTTTTTAATGACACTTAAACTACAAGTTACAAAAAATATATATTCAATAAATAGAAATATATATTTGTTGTGGATGCAATGCTTTTGAACATTTTCCCTCTGGCATGCAGTGTTTTAATGTTTTATCTAGAGATAATTGCTAATCATGATAATAATAGCAGATCCAAATAATCCACAACCATGTCTATCTGTTTCCATTAAAAATATAAATTCATTAAAAATACTATTTGGCCAGTGTGGAAAAGATTGAGAAAATCTTTCTCTGAAATGTATTTGATTTATTCATTCAACAAGGCAAGGATATAGGCTACTAAAAAAAAAAAAAAATAATAATAATAATTTATTGTGACACAGCACATCTGTATTTCATATTTTCCTAACGTCTTGTACGTTAACATGGTCTCACGTGGATGAATAATCACATGCAAATGATATGCAGATGAGGATATGCATATTTAAACTAGGCGTTGTAATCTCCATATATGGTCATTTCGGGGAGGAGACGCGTGTGTGCGCATTCTTCCGCTGACTGGGATTTATAAAGTGAATTCTGCGCAGGTTCTGGCGTACGAACGGTTTTATAAATCTGAATATTTTTTGGCACGCCATTTTTGGCTTTCGGGTGCACACACACTTTTAGTAAGGATCCTACGCACAGTTTTATAAATGAGACACCAGAAGTGAGCTGAATAAGCCTCAGGCTGAAGCACATGCAGATGGACGCGTGTACAGTAGAGGGCGCTGTTAAAAACCCTTTCTGGACTGAAGAACAATAGCACTTACTTCAGCAATAAAACATTAAATATCAAACACAAATGTGATATTTATCTCAGAGTGGATCACTGAAGGCATTGGTTAATAAACTGAGATTAAATACATAAAGTATATTTGTGTCTTTTAATTATTGCAGGTTTGTTTAATATTCTGAGATTACGTTTCTCTGTTTTTATTAGTTTTGAGTAATACGAAATCTGTGTTTTTGAGATGAGACGAGTAAATGTCGGCCAAAAGCGACAATAAGCATCATGTTTACACAATGCCTGTGAGCCTACGCTATCTCTCAACATGGGGACTATTGGAAAAAGTAACTCAGATATTTTGTAAATTTAAAATTAATGCATTACTAGTGGCTTGAAAACTTCTCAAGTTACTTATAATGCGTTTGCCCCAACACTGCTCACAGTGTCCTACACACACACTGACTGACATCACTTCCTTCTGCGCAGAAGACAGACGGTGCTGGAAACACACGGACTCTGTCCTCGGCCACTCGGAAGACGCTGGACAGGAAAGGTCAAAGGTGAGAATCAGCCTGGATATCATCTGATCTGATGACACACGTTTGTTTAAGAAGTGTTACACACATTTCTTCATTATAATGAGAGCGTCTAATTTAGTTTTGGGTTCAGAGTTCAAAACAAAACTAGATCCCTGTTGTACGATTGCAATGCGTCAGACACGTAAATATAATCGCACTCTTTATGCTGACGATTATCAGACACGCAACAAAGACGACAGCGATTCCCAAGAGCGCTCCGGCGAGGTATGAAGTGCCGAACACCTCGCTGTCACATGACCTCCTGAAGATCTGATCGTGTGTGTTTCTCTCCTGTAGGATCCTGCAGTGTCGTCTCGGGCAGAACACGAGCTGTTCCCCTCCGTGAGTCCTTCAACACACAGCACACACACACATCATTATATCAACACATTATAATGATGAAGATATAGCCATGAAATCACTCTAGACGTAAAAGAAAAGCAACACATGATGATAACAGGATCAAAACGCATGAAAAAGCCTTGCCAGAAAGTTTGAAGACGTTTTAAAGGGTACATATCATGCTTTTAAATCATTCATTTTTACATATAAATCATACCGTTGTGGTCTATATAAAGCATAACTGCAATGCTTGGGTCTGAATTCCTCATTATTAAAGCTCCACAAACCCCTTTTTTGATGTGCGTCTGTGAGCGACCCGTTTCAAAGCGGCCCCTTTAAATAAAAAGGAGATGCGTCACACCCCCCCCCGCTCTCCAGGTCCATGAGTTCACGGTCAGTTCAACTCCCACCTCCCCCGTTCGGCCATTATTGTAGTTTGATTAGAGATATACGATTATATACGATACCTTCAAAGAACATTTTTATTCACACGTTAATAAAATGTCAACAACAGAAGACTTGTCCATCAAGCCGAACATATTCGAGCCAGAGCGAGCGAGTCGATAAAGACGACGACGAACCTGCAGAACCATATGGATGTATTGGTATGTGAGTTAACTGTTTTGTGTTATAAGTGAAAGTCGACTATTTCTCTTGTTAAAACAAGCACACTGACAAGATAAATGACTACGGTCTAATCTTACCACAAACAATCTGTATTGATAATATGATGCGTTTAGAAAAGCAGCTAAATGACCATTGATGAAACTCAAGAACAATAATACTGCAGACGTGTAACGTTACTTCAAAACAAAAACAAAGAAAGACAAAGGTACTGCTAAACCATGACCACCATGTGTTTTAAGAAAGTAAAGTACTTTATTTTTATTAACGATATTTACAGCTTATGGAAACGCTCTGTTCGTCGTCTCCAAAGATAGAAGGAATTTACCTCTCATTCAGACGAAGTCGATCGGCAAACCCTTCTGTATAACGTTACTGGCGGAATCCTTGAAGTGCTTCAGGTCACTAACGTACATCCAACAACCGAACATTTTGACTTGCCCTCTTGTAACTTCTGCATCATTGAGCTCGGACTACAAAATCGGAGCGAGAAATAATGTTGGGCCGGTAGTCGATGTCCTTATTTGTCAGTTCCGCTGCAAATACGGTGATGTTATAGTTCAAAAAACGTCATAGAAAACTGAAAAAAATCTGAACAGGTTGAAAAATATGACCAAAACAGAATATTAAGATATAAACGAATCACCTGAAGAGAATAATTTCATCTTTTCTGTACTTATAACACTCCAAATATACAACAAAATGCATTTAAGGGCTAAAAAAGTGGATTTTGCATGATATGTCCCCTTTAAAAGTTTCAAGACTGAGTTTTTCGCAGAACTACGCCCCCTCTGGCGACAAGCGAAACTGCAACCAGAGGTGTGCACACTCATGGACCACACACACACACACACTTCATAACCAAACGAGCATCAGCCGCACACATCTATTGTTAGTCATAATGTCTCCAGAGGGAATAAAGTTATAAATCTGCAACTCATTTTAAATATATGATAGGATTGAGTAAATTACAATATGGGCCTGAAGTGGATCTGTCTGTCTGTAGGAGCGCGCTGAAGAAGAGAGACGGGTGTGTGGGAGCGAGACAGCACTCGCTGCAGAGGAAGCATCTGTCTCTGGGATAAACACACACACACACACACACACATCACTATAATCGTTCACTTTACACCGCTAAACTGCTTCAAAAGTTCACTATGCTTTCATTTTTTTTTTAAATGATTCTGAAAGTTTGATATAAAGCATTACTGATTACACACTGATTATTAACATGCACATTCAGAAATAAAAACATGTAGAAAAACACACGTGTGTAATTGCAGTGTACGATATACTAATGTATATATGAAGAGTTCAGATGCAAAAGCCTCTAAATGCCATTTGAAATTTTCTTCTTTAATGATGATTTTTATCAAACTTGTAGGTAAGTTCAGTAATTTCACTTAAATAACAATTAATAGGTAATTATCATTGCCATTTAAGTGAAATTACTGAACTTAAATATACAAGCTTGATAAAAATAATCATTCTAGAAGAAAATTTCAAATGGCACTTAGAGGCTTTTGCATCTGAACTCTTCATATATACACACACAATCATTCACTCAAACACACCATGAGCCGTGTGCAGAAGTGTGTTTGACAAGACTGAAACACTCACTCATTCTGATACACTTTTGCACAAACACACACACACACACACACAATCATACACTCTCTCTCTCACACACACGCTTACACAAACAAACACACACTCACAGAAACATACACAAACACTCCCACACACACAGCTTAAACAAACTATTAGTGTTTTGAGAGTTTGATTCGCTGAGCAAAAATGAACACACTGCAGAAATGGATGATCTTTCTCTCGGTGTTTTCGTTTTCTTTTCCAGTTCTGCAGAGAAATCTGCAGAGAAATAAACAAGATTATCTCTCTCCCCGCAACTTTACACACTCTACTAACTAACTAAAGGACTTTAACGACTGCTAATCGAGTTAGTAGACTGTTAGCCGAGGGTTAGCTTTAGTAGAGTAATGAAACTTGCACAGTCAGTGAAGTGAGTCTACGAATACTTTCACACTCAGATTCATTGTAGAAACATAACACTGCTTTATTTCTTCAACATAACACTGAACGGTACATTACCCACACACACACACACACACACAGCAGACGTGTGTATCGCTGCATGCGCACAGACAGAAGTGCTTAATGTTGCAGGTGCAATAATAGAAAATAATAATACTGTTTATACAACTAAACAACATTTTAATTCAGATAAAGCATGTAAAACAGCTGCATATAGGGAGCTCAGTCACTCATGGCCTTTATATTCCATTGGAGTCAAGATCACAGTCGAGATTATCTGTACCGCGCGCGGATATGAGAGATAAAGCTGATCTCCAATCAGCCCAAGCACAACCTATACCACTAAACACAGAAGTGCAATAATAATCCATCACAACAGTCTTTGGCATGACGAGTGTGTGTGTGCGCGCATGTCCTGATTCATTTCTGAAAAAACAAAACCTGAATCAATTACTTTGGCGTCATAAACTGTGCAAATTCAGTCAAAATCAACACTGTTATATTCCCCGGAAAGAGCACACTTCTCTGGCCAAGCTGATCGTCAAACAGAAACGAATGTTCGGAGTTCAACAAGTTAACCCTCAAACCGTATTCACTTTATAGCCCCTAATCCTGTAATTGTGGACAAATGTGATCCTAATGTTATATCAGTGTCTTCGATAAAGTTTTGTCTATCCATTTATGGTGTGTTTTTTTATTTTGGGGGTATTTTTGAATTTATTTACATCAAAAAGTACTATATTTTCTATGTAAATTATGCTTATTTTTATGTTTTATTTTTTTAACTACATTAAAATATCATTCCAATAAGTTCTCAGAGCTCAAACCTAAAGATGAAGTGATTTTGCTGTTATTTTGGCTTATTTTAGGAGGCTCTAAATTACAGTTTTTCCCATTCATTTCTATGGGTGCCTATTTTTGACCCAAATACAAGATTAAGGATTTTTTTTTCACCCACTTAACATTGTAGAATTGAGTCAAAAAAAAATTGTGTGTGTTCAGGAGGCAAACTTAGGAAAAACAGCCAAGTCTTGTACCGCTCAGATCAAGGGAAGTATTTCTTAAAAAATAAATCAAAACTATTTCACACATTTGTCCAGAATACGACTTTAGGGTTAAAGATGATGTCATACATGATGTCAGATGATGTCATAAATTGATACTTTTGGATTCAAACAGCAAAATAAGGCTCCCTGTGTTAAAACACATCAGTTCACACAATACATTACATATTTAATGAGCCTGAGCTGATGAACTAACACTGAACAGTTGTGTTTTAATTTACTTAAATACTCTTACACATGTATTGCTCATTTTTAGTGACATAACTGTATCATGTTACCGTTCAAATGCTTTAATGTCACTTTCACAACCAATGACGTGAGTTTGGGGGCGGGACTATCTCTCTAACTGACCAATGAGAGTTTGGGAAGAGCTGTGCAAGAGAGTCATTGCTTCTCTGTTAGTGTTAGAAAAATGACACAAGCTTTCAGATTTAATGACAGCATTACCGACGCCACCGCCATTGCATCAGATATTGACTTTGGCTTCTCGAATCAACATTATGTCACGACTGCTTTAAAAAAGCCAGACCGTTCCTTTCACATGACCTCGAGGGAATGTAATAACACGTCCACCGCTAAACACTACACAGAAGAAAACACTCGGGCTGCTCAGAAGAGCTGTTCCCAAAGAGAAACTGGCGCAGAAACACACGTAACGGAATGTCCCGGTGGAAAGAATGATGAATCCTGACACACACACACACACACACACACCAGCCTTCTGGAAGAAGAGTCGTACACACAGCTTTAAATAAAATAACCTTCACACAAACGTAACGCAGACGTACAGCCTGCCGTCATCCTTCAGCGCATCCGCCTCATTCACAACTAGTGTTTATATTGCGTATATCGCATCCAAAATAAGTGTGTATACATTTAAGATTTATACATAAAATATATATAATATAAATTATATATACAGTATGCAAATATTTCACTAAATAATTATACACGTATAGTTTTATTTTGGATGTGATTAACCGTTTCACAGCTCGTTATAATGCAGCTTGTGATAACAATAGATACACGTCTCGCCTTCAGAAGAACTATGAATTTTTTTTTGTAGTTTTTGTGCTTGTTATTATATTACAGTAGCTGCTATGAAATGTTCTAGCACGTCAAATGCTGCGTCATATACAAATACACAATACATGTTTTGCTCGTCTTCAAAACTAGTCAAAAATCAAGTCGCATTTATCTGAAACATGCATATATCCATATAGATGGGTATATATATATATATGTCCATATTACAAAGCGACTTATGCAATTAAAGGGATAGTTCACTCAAAAATGAAAATAAGCCCATGATTTACTCTCCCTCAAGCCAATAATCACTTTTATGATGGACAGATGCACTTTTATGGCGTTTGTCTGAAAGAATGTTATATACGGTCATTTAAATTTTTGGGTGAACTATCCCTTTAACGTCTAGCACGTAAAACGTTCGCAGACATTAGTGTGTGTTATGGATGAGAGAAGTGCTCAGGTTCAGAGGCAGATATTGATTTGTTTGGCTAACTCTCTCTCCAAGTCTGAAATCAGTGTGTCGAAGTCCTTCAGACTCAGTCGGCACGTGAACGGGGCGTCGAAGTCGAGAGCGAAGTCATCCACGAACAAACCGTCGGGCGACGCCCACACGTCCCGCTTCTTCGCCTCGTCCATGTCGTCGTCGCTCTCGCTTCCCGCCACCTCGTCGTAATCCGCCTCGTCGTTCGACATGAAGTCCCGCCCACAAACGCTCCAGTCACCAGCGTATCGGTTACAGGGCGGACTTTCCAGGCGGCCACGCCCCCTACGGGAAACAACCGGATCGTCCTGAAGGCCACGCCCCCTATGGGATACAACCGACTCGTCCTGAAGGCCACGCCCCCTATGGGAAACAACCGGCTCGTCCTGAAGGCCACGCCCCCTATGGGATACAACCGGCTCGTCCTGAAGGCCACGCCCCCTACGGGAAACAACCGGCTCGTCCTGAAGGCCACGCCCCCTACGGGAAACAACCGGCTCGTCCTGAAGGCCACGCCCCCTACGGGAAACAACCGGCTCGTCCTGAACCGAGGGAAGCGATTGCCACAGTGAGGAACTCTGGGATACCGGAGAAGAGATGACCTGTGATTGGTCGGAGTCATCAATCACTCGATCTTTGGGTACTGAGAAGAAACAGACATGAAATGGCGTTACACACTTGATGTGGCAGATCAGATGTGCAAGTCAGCTTTATTTCTACAGTGCTTTATACAATACAGATCGTTTAAAAGTTTTAATTCCCCGAAATAAACAGGAAAATAATGCAAACTTCAAATCACTTCGGTGTTGATTCAGTTTTGATTCAATTCAGCTCAATGTTGATTCAATTCAGTTCAATGACAGTGTCGATTTAGCAAAATTCAAATTATGAAACTAATTTGATTCCATTATAAAGCAGCTCTACTTCAATAACTTCAATGTTGGTTCAATTCAATTTCGATAACACTGTCAGTTCGTTTCTCAGCTCAATTCAGTTTAGTTTAGTCACATCTGAATCAAATCAATAATGCTGCTGAATATTAAGTGTCTTTAACCCCTTAGCTGTCACCCCCCCTTTTTGAGAATGGGGGTTAAAATGCACCATTCAAACTTAAATGAGTGTAATTTAAGAATGCTTTGGAATATATACCCAAGTTTGGTCTTGTTTTAAAGAAAACACTCAGCAGAATATTGCTGAAGTGAAAACACTTCAAAAAATGAAAGTATGAAAAAGTTATGGAAATTTTAATTTACAGTAAATCAAATATACTGTACTATATATTTTTTATTTTATATAAAATATATATTTTACAAAATATTTTTACTCTAAAATTTCTATAAAATCAAAGCCATAAATCTTATCAAGTTATGTTCCAAATTTGAAGTTGATTTCACAAAAATTGAAGTTCCCATGAGATTTTGTTTAGGCGTAGTACCAAAAATAGCCACCGGGTGCCATTAAATTCCATTGAATTTAGTTGTATACATTCTGCCTTAACAAATTAATACATTTCTGTCCAAATATCACTTCTGTCACAAAATTTGGAACCTTGAGACTCTGACCTTTCTGACAATATCAGTTTTGTCAAGATTGGAAAAGGTTTTGATCATAAATTATGAAATATGACGCCCAAAAGGGGAGGAGCCTGATAAAAATAAGTACCGTTTTTTTCTATGGTAACACAACGTTCAATTATAAAACAGTTTTCACACAATGAATTCTGAGTTTATAAGCTTTCAAATGATACCTAATTTATGATAACTACTAAAATATTTGATATAATAAAAAAGGCGATAAAAAAAATTATATTATATTTTAGAGGATAATAAATATAAATATAATCATTTTTAGAGGATAATATTATACTATAATTTTTTATTTTTTATTGAAAAATACTAGATTATATGTTTTATTATGAACTTTTAGCATAAAAACAGAAGTTTCAATGATTAAAAGTGGGTGCATCGACTTTTTGTGACAAAGGTCAAAACTCCTGTTATGATGCAGATTTTTTGAGGTGCACTCTTGTCATAAATTCATCAATTACTCTTCCTACATAATTTTTAACACAAAACAGGGGTAGAATATCTATTTAGAAGTCTTAGACCTTTCCAATGATATATAATTTGTCTTAATTAGATTAGGATTTAATAGAAATATAGTGAAGTAAAGTTAGGCGTCCCGGTACCGGGTTTAAGGTCCAACTGAGCGTGGTGTGTGTTTACATCAAACTCACGGCACATATTTAGACTGATGTTCCATGCAAATCCACAACAGCTGTCGCAGGTTACTGAGATTCCTCCCGCATGTTACACACGTGCTGCGTCATAAGAACAAGGGTCAAGGGTCGTAACACGACGCCTAGAGTTCAAACTGTTCGCATGACCTTTTGAGACGCAGCCGATAATTACCAGATTATATGCATGATATTTCATCGCATGAACGATAATCAAAACCAGCACATTCAGAGGACAGAAGGATGCATGCGACCTCACCCACGCATGCCTGTCTGCAGTGTAGAACGGGTTTGAAATGACCTTTAACCCTCATCCTTTGCTCGCACTGTGTAACACATCTTTCCCTCGTGGGTCAAAACGACTTCTTCTTTTTTTGAGTGTCCAGAAAGCTTATTTCATTTTGACATTTTTAATGCAATTTTTTTGTTACCCTTTAAATTACGCGATTTTATCAATAAATAATAAATAAATAGTAATTTTAGCACATTCCTAAAAATATCTCACATGTGCATCTTTGCCAACCTCTTGTGGGGAAAAAAAATATATAATATATATATTACATATTTTTTTTGATATTTCATGAGATATATATAAACACATCATGATATTTCATGACTCTAGATGGCCTTATATCACTATTAAAGCCAGTTTCTTCACTGTGCATTCAGACACACATGTAGACATCATAAAATATTTTTTTTTAGCATTTTTAGTTTGAATTTTGAGCATTTTTTGTTTTTTCTATGTGTCCTAAAGCGCTCCTGCATTCCTAATTGGCCGCGAGGGAAGGATTTGTTACTTTTAAAAATTTCAACCACAAATTATTTTTCTTTATTCGTGGTTCAAGCGTGACGAGTCTTGGCCCCCTCTGATGAACACTCAATTTTGTACATTTTTGGGACACAAACTCACCAGGCCAGAGCTGCAGGAGGTAGTGCAAAGCCTCGATGTGTCGTTTAAAGTCCACGGCGCTGGCGATCTCTTCACTGTGTGCAAAGCTACGCCCTCGAGCGGCCCCTGACCCCATCAGGGCCCCTGACCCCGGGGCCGTCAGCCCGGCCTGCCAGGACTCCTGTGTGGGCGTCAGGAGAACCGGCCCGAAGCACACGGCCAGATTCTGGCACGTCATCCGGTTGCTGTCGCTGTACGACGCCACCAGACTCAGATGATCCAGCAAGAAGGACAGAGTTGCCTTCAGAAGACACAAAATCACACACACGTCAAACATGGAAGTGCTAACATTGCATTGATAGGTACAGTAACTGATTTTTTTTTTATTTTTCACATGGAATGGAACTATCCTTATTTTTGTATTTATTTATTTTTATTTATTTTATTTTTTTTACAGTAACTGATTTACAGAATCTTCCTTCAGAGTGACGTGCATTGATGCGCACACGGATGCATTAAGAGAAACCCTTGTTACTAGCGACACCGGTGGCCGTTTAGTGAACTGCAGCTGCACTTCCTTTATGCACACACGCGAGACTCAAGACTCACGGCGAAGGGCTTTTACAGTCTTCGCTTGGAACTAAAGTGGAAACACCTTTGCAGCATTATACAGCTAACGAACATTTAGATGAGTATGCAAATATGTGTACTTTCATAGAAAACCTGGGAACTCAGGGATGATCTGTTCACGTCGCTCCTTTAAGAAAGCAAATCGAGCACATTTCGATTAACTTCAGGCTTAAACATGGTCAAATTATGCAAGCTCCTAACAGTGAGCCATACCTTTCTAAATGAAGAAAAGAAAGAGTATAACTGTACGAGAGCAGGAGGACGGGACGATCTCATTCCCAATTAGCTTGTTTTGGACGATGTTGGAAACCCTCAGGCTGCTGTTCTGCTACTCACATGGGACAAACACACACTCCCTCTCGCATAAACACTTCAGTGCTCTTACATAAAATCACATCCTCAGGAAGAAGCTCAGACTCACGTCTGGCAGAAACAAGCATAATAACAACAGTGACAAACAGCTTAAGAAACGAATGTGGATTAACTCTAAATGTTTGCCATTCTTATTAGGTTTGTTTGCCCAGAGCACGGCTCCTCGAGGTCCATTTAAACCTTTCAGAAAACAATACAATGCAAAAACTAAGATCCAATTGAACAGGGTAGTGTAGATCTTACAAAAATAAACATGTATATGACACACAATTTGACTATGTTTAAAGGAGCTAAACGCAAGTCTCTGAGTTTTTGCAGAACTACGCCCCCTCTGGCGACAAGCGAAACTGCAACCAGAGCTGTGCGCGTTCATGGAGGAACACACACACACACACATACGCACGTTTGCACGAGCTGTTCATAACTAAGGAGCATCAGCCGCACACTGTGCGGCACACATCTTTTGTTACAGTCATAATGAGGTAATACAGTAATAAATCTGCAAGTCATTTAAAATATATGAAAGGAAAGGCATTCGAGTAAATTACACACTTATGTGTGTGAGAGGGGGAAACGGGGGTAGTAGAAAACTTCGGTTTTTGTTTCCATCTATCTCCCTGTGCTTACTGTATCCACTTATGATTGAATTATTATGGAAACACGTTCAGTTATCACTTTGTATAGGCTATGACTCGTTTGAGCCCTAGAGCCGACCGGAGATCTCTCCGTTTGTTGAAAGCTTCCCGATGTTGACTCTCGTCTTATTCCGACGCATGGCACTGGACAGACAGAAGTTTTATTTTCTGTCTCACGTGGAGTTTGCGTTGGGGTTTGTAATGAGCTACAAGCCGGTCTCTTTCCGCGCCATATACAGATTTAATGAAGTGCACGTCACCGAAAGCAACAGATATGAGCTAGATTTTATTAATCATCGGCTAATTTCAAAATCAGCAAAGACAGCAATAAGAGAGATCGGCAACAGGCCTGGTAAGATCATTTCATTTATTTACTTTTAATGAAGATGGTAGTGTTAAGCGTCTGCGACTTACTTTCACTAATTCACTTTGATTTGCGATAGATTGCGGCGCTTGATGAAGGGGCTCAGCTCAGCTGCTCAGGTGATGCGCGTCGTCATATATGACTAAAATATCATGACATATAGCTTGGTTTCAACAACCAGATGCATTTACACTTGTCCAGTTTCGTCTGGAATACGGCACAGACCACGTCCTCAAGTGGTTTGAGCGATCGAATTCAAATCCGTCTCGAATGCGTTTCGGAGGGTATTTACACCCTGGTCTTTTCACGATCGAATAGCTATCCGATCACAGAAGACACATGAAGTGACCAGGTGTAGGCTAAACAGCCCCTTTGAATCCATCGTTTACTTTTGTGGAAAGCTGACTAGAGTTGTGTCGCTCGAGTTGTCTTCTCTGATACGGAGAACGGCGGCGAATAGCTACACGAACCTGCCAGACATAGCCAGGCGAGCGTGAACGCGCATGACGTCACGCCCAGTCTCAGATTCGAGCCCGAATCCCTCTTATATATTTCACTGTACAGGGTTATAGAGGCGATCGCAGTGATCAAAGAAGGGCTCATTCAGCCCATCAGGCGATTGTTTAAGCATGTATGGGTTAGAAAACGGCTATTTTTAACATGAAAAGTTGCGCAATGCACCTTAAGCATCCTGAAGTCTTGATCAAAACGGGCTTGATTTGCTTTCTAAAAGGAGCGACATGTAAGAATCCTTTGATTGCAAATGTGTTCCCAGAGTTCCCAGGTTGTGTATGAAAGCCTATGAAAGAGCTTGATGTTAAAATCAAAAGGATGTGACGTTTACGCTCCCGAGAGCCAGTCTTTTGCTCGATGACACATGAAACTAATGCTTATACAATGTTTTGGGTTACAATCAGTGGAAGAGACTGAATGTTTGCTGCTAAAAAAAAAGCACCGAACTTTTTCATGCACCGAACTTTTGAGCGATATACATGTAATTTATTATCATTTAACACCATATCAGAAACAAAGGCTTTATTCAAGAGTAATAAAATGTAAAATAAACATAATAACAATATATTAAGGAATTGTATACAGATATAGATATAATTCATACAATAACAGTTATATAAAATCTTTCAGCTTGATATTTCCTAAAAAAAAATTATGACTTAGATGTAAAGAAAAGTTTAAAGTGCGTAATATACTACCCTTTTAGAAGAAATTAATACTTTAATTCAGCGAAGATAATCTCAAATAAATGCTCTTCTTCTGAACTTTCAATTCATCAAAGAATTGTGAAAAATAAAAAGTTTCACGATTTCCACAAAGAAATTAACAGTTTTCAGCACTGATAATAATCATAACTGTGTCTTGAGCATCAGATCCTCATATTAGAGTGATTTTTGAAGGGTCATGTGACACTGAAGACTGGAGTAATGATGCTGAAAATCACAGGAATAAATTACACTTTACTGTATATTCACATAGAGAACTGATGATTTACATTAGAATAATATTTCAGTGTTTTACTGTAGTTTTGATCAGACAAACGCAGCCTCTTTCAGAAACATTAAGAAATCTTAAGTTTTGAATGGCAGAATCTGACCTCGACGCCTAATGTCCTCGACACACACACACTCACGCATCACCTTCTCCGCTTCAGGAAGACACTGCAACAGAGCCACGGTGTCCTGTGAGCGCGGAGCGTCGCTGTCGTGTCTACAGGCCGGCCGAACCATCATGGCCTCTAACACCACCTCATACAGGGTCCTCGTGATCAGAGGAGACGGCAGCTCGCGCAGGTAGTCCTTCAGGATGCCTGAACACAACATTATAAACAATCCATATTTTCATCTACAAAACCCCTGGAGATTTGTTATTTGTGTATATTTTCATACTTGAGTTTGTAAATTGATAAGTAAAAAAAGCATGGTTCGTGAACACTGACCGGTAATGACATTGACGTCGGGATAGAGCTCGTCGTTTAAGGAAACTGCGGCACTGTCCTTCTCAAACGCATCGCGCAATTCCTTCTTCACTGCCGCAGAACCACAGAGACGATACAACCCCACCACCTACACACACACACACACACTCTTTTACAATACTTAGATCTATTATCCAAAATCGTGATGTGTTTCTGTCTCTACTAGAACAGGTTTTCCTGCTTGAATGTTGATCATTCTCCTCATATTCTCCATTTTTGCGACTCCTCTCTTCTCAGTCTGTCAGGAACGCTCGCTTTACTTCCTGTCTCTATGAAGCCCCTCCTTCTGAAAAGCACACTGTGCTCTGATTGGTCGGCTGGGGCAGTGTGTTGTGATTGGTTGAGCGCTTCGAGTGTGTTTGGGAAATGTCCCGCCCCTTTACATAACCGCCAGTTTAACACTCTACAAACTAACTCAACCAGGCCCCGCCCCTTTATTCTGCGCATGAATTATTATAATGAGGAATATTGTGACGTGTTCCGGAAGAAACTCAAGTTCAGGAGTTCAGAAACACTGACTCTGATATAGAGACGAACTCCTGCTGGAGGGACTTTGAAACATTTTTCATGATCAAACATCAATATTTGATTAAGAAAGGAGTAAAAATAAAAAAATAAAAAAATAGTAGAATATTCCTTTAGTGACAAGGTGGAAGTTGGTGTGAAGAGCTTTGAATGATCGCATCCAAAATAAAGGTTTGTGTTTACATAATATATGTGTGTGTGCTGTGTATAATTATTTTGCAATATAAACACACACTTACGCATGTATATATTTAAGAAATATGTTAACATTTTGCAAGTAAAATAATCTTAATTTAAACGTTGAACATTGCATTGGCAGATCATTCTGCTTATTTTAAGCGAAAACTTTAGTTTTCCCCCCCCAGACGACAATACATAATTTTTAATGCCATTTTACTGATCTAGTAAATGCTTCTTGATTTAAGAATTTTTAGATATCTGGACTGCAAACAAGACAAACACGTGCAAATATGAGTAGGTCTCACCCTCAGTCCCCTCCTCTCGATCTCAGAAACACACTTCTGGATGATCAGAGGCACTCCGAGCGCAGACGCTTCTTTCTCCACCAGGGGGCGCAGCTCTACCCCGAACACTGTAGGGGGCGGCAGGTCACTGAGGCGCGGGAACGGGGTCACGAACTGCTCCAGCAGGGTCAGCTTCACATACAGCAAACCACGAGGCTCCAGACGAACACACAGCTGCTGACTGCGAGAAGCTGCGGGAGAGAGACAGACATTACATTTAGTCATTTAATAGACGCCTTTGTCCAAACAAAGTGGCTTACAAATGAGGACTAAAGCAAGCGAGTCATCGTGCAGAGGCAAAAACAACACGAGAACTGCTCAAGTTCAAGCATTGCTCAGAGTAGCAGAAGCCAGACATAGGAGGATAAAATGATTTTTTTTAAACAAATTTTATGAGTAGTCAGTGACACAGTGAAAGGGTAAACTTTGGTGTAACGGTAGATATATTTGCTTTTAAAAGGCAGGAATGTTTTACATTGAAGAGACATGAGGAACATGTTCCAAATGATTGGAAGTTAACAGATAATTCTTTACATATTGTGCCCTTTATCCGAGTGTAACGGAAAAACGAAAAATTATTTGCATTTGAATGTAGGGCGGGGCTTAGTTCAATCCACCAACTATTGATTGGATGGAGGCGGATCTGCATCCAAGTTTGCAGTCGATTGAAGACAGATCAGCACGAAATGATTGGAGAATTCGTTTCGCCAGAAGATTTGAGTAAACGTTACAACGTCAAAACATTAAAAAAAGAAACATATGCACATAAAAAATGGTGAATTTCCATTTTATTCCATGGAAATCTTGCACTGAGCCTCTTATCTCTTCATCTTCTCTCTCTCTATTCAATTCAAATGTGCTTTATTGGCGTGACATTTCAGAAATGTAAATGATTCACAAATGGTCGGTTCTTACCCTTGAAGAGGGACGGTATAGCCACTGCACCCAGACAACAAACCCGGTTCCGCGCGGGAGCAGCCAGTGCGCAAGACCCGATGTTAGCGCTAGCAGTCGTTGGCGTCAAGATGACCAGTTTGAGCAGCCGGGCCCTCTCGAGCTCCAGGTTAAAGGTGTGGTTTAGTGGGAGACACGCTCCTCGACAAGTTAGCAGGGACGTTCGAGCCCGGGTCACCCCGTCCACTTGAATGGCACAGAAGACTTCTTTAGTAGCGTCGATCCGAGGTGGTCGGAGTAGCTCTTCGACTCCCAGCAAATGCACCGTGAGCAGTCCTGAGAGTCTCTGAGCACAGCGAGGCTGATCCGTCAGCGAGTACAAGCGGAAAGACTCCGCGTCTGCCACAGCGAGTGAATCCTGTGGTGTAGGTGAGCCTTTCGACCCCTGACCCTTTGGCAGGAGTTCAGGTGAGTCTCCATCGCTAAGATAGCCTCCTTTACTAGCGGATCTCATTCGAGAGGATCGACGTCTTGGCCGTGCGGGTGCACTGGAGTCCAGGTGGTACTTGCTGATGATGTTGGATGATTCTTTGCATGCATTTGGCGGTAAAGCCTCATCTGAGGCTCCCGGTGCACTGCTGGCATTTCCTTGGCTCTGTCCGTGACGCTGATTACGCGACGAGCGCAGGCTAAGCTTCCGCCTTAGTTCTGGGAGTTTCCGCATCTTCATAGAGAGCCGCCGAACCGTTCCTGGAGACTTGATCTTGTCGATCACACTGCTGCCATTTCCACCCTCTCCTGGGCTTCTCTTTGGTGCCGCCGAACTCTCAGAGTTCACAACACTTGCAGGGATAATACAGTCCGACTGTAGCGTAACCAGATCTGAACACAAATAAACACACTGTTAGAAACTTCCTTTTAAGATGTTCCTACAACCAAGCTGTGCTTTGGTGTCTTAGTAGTCAGTCTCAAAACATAGTAAGATGCCTTGCTGTTAGGCAGAACACTTGGTAACAAATTCGCTCCAATACACCTGCCTGGAAGTCTCTAGTGATCCTGAAGACCTTGATTAGCTGCTCCAGATGTTTTAATTTGGGCTAGAATTAAACTCGGCAGGAAGGTGGCCCTCAAGGAGCAGGATCGGATACACCATCATAAACTGATTTCCAATGATGAGATCCAATGAATGAGATGCACTTTCCAGTAGACTTTAGCCCCAACACTTATCAAACACACCTGAACATGGTAATCAAGGTCTTCAGGATAACTAGAAGGTTGCAGGCAGGAACATTTTTATCAGGGTTGTAGCTAAACTCTGCAGGATATGCAATTAAAGGTCTATAGGCAGGTGAGTTTGGTCAGGGTTGTAGCTAAACTCTGCAGGACAGTAGGCCTCGAGGGCCAGAGTTGTGCCAAATCCGACCCCTTCTCCAGAGACTCTACTCGCAGGACAATGACCCTCCAGGACCAAAGTTGCCCATCCCAGCTCTACATCAAGAAAGGGCAATTCTGGCACTCAAGACCTGCTTTCCAGTAGACTTTAGCCCTAATACTTATTAAACACACCTGAATATGCAATTAAAGGTCTTCAGACAGCTATAGGCAGGTGAGTAGTGTTGTCACGGTACCAAAATTTCAGTATTCGGTACCAATACCAGTAAAAATTCACGGTTCTCGATACCAATTTCGGTACCAAAGCTTAGTTTAAATTTACATATATTTAAGTGTTTATCACGGTTACAAGTATGGAAACTGTACATTTGCATTATAAACACTTTAGAAAAAGATTAGATAAAATGACCTAAAATAAACAATAGTATGCACTAACACATTTTTAAAGTTGTTTGTAAAGTTTTAATCCGTTAACATTTATTTAATGCACAATGAATGAAGTGAACAAACATGAACAACCAAGTGTTTGTTTTAAATAACATTTACAAACATTAATTAATGTTGTAAAAATATATTGTTCACTCAATGTGTTGATGTGAACTAAGTAATGTTGATGAATGGTAGCTATCTTATTGTAGCGTTACCAAACTATACAGGAGATAAAACATGTTTTATTTGACTTGTCTGTACTTTTATTTAATCTAAAACTGCATTCATATTTAATTTTAAATAGGCTTTTTAAACCTGCTGAGTTATAAAGGCAAGAATACGCCTAGAACTGGCACTGACATAATAAATAGGGATGCGTCGATACTAATACCAGTACTCTGGTGTCGGGTGGATGCTACTGTGCTCATGTACTCGTAAAACTACCCCGAAAGCACTTTAGAGGCCGTTCACATATCGCGCGTGTTTTTTATTATATTTTTGCGCGTGCTTATTCTTTCCAAAGCGCTTGCTCTCACGCGGCGTCTGTCGTTGCTATGCAACGAGTTTTTATTATGAGCGCGCTTGCCTCGCGCCTATATTTGAAATTGCGACTTTGCATGTAATCGGCCTCTTATGGCAATGTGACATTAGCCTAATCCAAAATATTTCGATATGTGGCTCTTTCCTCCTTTCGTGTCAACAAGTGGATTCAGAGAGAGAGAGCCATATCAGCGTTATGAAGAGGACGCGACTGTGCACCTTTCAGACAGCGCGTCTAGAACTGGATTAACCTGGTATTCGGTACCTAGAAAAGCTGGTACCGTAACATTTTTTTTTTTAGTACCGACTTGGTACCGAAGTACCGAGTTTTTTGACAACACTACAGGTGAGTTTGGTCAGGGTTGTAGCTAAACTCTGCAGGACAGTAGGCCTCGAGGGCCAGAGTTGTGCCAAATCCGACCCCTTCTCCAGAGACTCTACTCGCAGGACAATGACCCTCCAGGACCAAAGTTGCCCATCCCAGCTCTACATCAAGAAAGGGCAACTTTGGCACTCAAGATCCACTTTCCAGTAGACTTTAGCCCTAACACTTATTAAACACACCTGAACATGCAATTAAAGGTCTATAGGCAGGTGAGTTTGGTCAGGGTTGTAGCTAAACTGCAGGACAGTAGGCCTCGAGGGCCAGAGTTGTGCCCTACGTAGGCAGTAAAACAGTGCTTCAAGTCAAATCAAGTCACCTTCATGTATATAGCCCTTTTACAAATATTGATTGTTTCAAAGCAGCTTTACAGTGATAATAGGAAATTAAAGAAAAAGATTGATTGATGTCACTAGGCTAAAGACGTGATACTGTTTAGCATAAAAATACACACAAATATTGGGTAAAGCATTCAGTTTACTATTTGTGTATTCAGGGATTGCCTTCTCCACAACTGTTGCCGACTTATAATTTGACCAAAAGAAGATATCTTAAAAGGCAGGCCTATTATAATTATGCTGCCTACGTTTTGAAAGAGAACCATCAAACGCTGTCTAGGTAGGCAGCTCACTTGGTTTTAGAAAATAACTTATAATTACATGTCATGTGGTTGCTTTCAATCCCATTTTTTCTAAATTTGTGAACGCCAAACACAATCAGCACAGCACTTCAGTCTACTTACTATAAATATCATTTCAAAACAGCACTTGCGACCAGACCAGCTTGCGACAAACTCTTACATAATGGAAAATCTGACCATACCCGAACTATCCGTCCTGATTAAGTCGACTTCAGTTTGAAAGTCTCTCGTTTGATTGGTCAAACCCCCTGATCGTTTCTGGTCTCTCTTTCTCCACGGGTCTCCGTATTTTTCCCGATCTGCTTCTCCGCTGGCCCTCGAGTCGTCCTCTTCAGGAATGGGGTTGTACCAAATGTTTCCGTCTCCATCCGGGCCCTGTCGCCACTCTGTGATTCTGGCTGGATTCTGGGCCTCATCTGATGCCTGGGGCTTTCCCGTGGACAGTACCCAGGCTCGACTGCTCCTGTCCAGGTGCTGAAGGTAAGCGCCTTGCCCAGAGATCTTAGCTGAGCTGGAAGAGACACACACATCCGTAAAGGTCGTAGAGGAAGGGGTCAGCTCCGGTAAACTGGCCTCAACTGAGTTGCACGGTGCGCTAAACTCCAATTCAAGATCACTCCGATTTCTCTTCAAGCCATCCTCACTTAAAGTTAGTTGGTTCCAGGCCTGTTTTGAGACCTCAGACTTTCCAGAGCACAAATCCCAGTCCAGTGGCCCGTAGACCAGATCTGTGCCAACTGGGTCTCTGCAAGTGGAGGGAAGTTTGGCCCAGTTCTGTTTTTTGGAGACGGTGATCTGTGAGCGTATGGTACACTCCTCTCGCTCCGGGCTCTCGGGCTCAGCGTGACCCGAGGTGGATCCAGTTGATGGAGGACTTTGGAAAAGTTCCACCTTTTCTGTCACTTCTAAAGCAGAGGAAAGAAAACAGCCATTATTATCGTAGCAGGGAGTATTTTGCCTTATTTGGTGTTGAAATAGTTGGAGTGAATTGGAGTGACTAACATGAAGAATTGATCACTGGAGACTTGCAACATTCAGAAACAGCAAATACCACAAGTAAAAGTGGAACTGGGGGCTATTAACCTTTACAGGGTTTGCATCCTCCCTAAAACAACATTTCTGAGATGAGTTTACAGTGACGTAGAGCTGCGAAGAGAGAGGGCGACTGGAAAGAATTAAAATAAGGCCAAAGAGGAGGGGTGAAGATATTTACCATCTCCTTCACCCTCGGCTCCCTCCCATCTCGCACATCTGGAAGTTTCTCCAAACTCCCTCGTCCCGTTTTCCCCCTTCTCTCTCTCTCTCTGTTCTTTCCCCTCTTGAAATTATGAACGTGGCTTGTGACACACAGTTAGCCAAATATCTTATCGAGTTCCAGAAGCCATGAATAACTCCTGTGTGTGTGTGTGTGTGCTCTGCACATTATCTCTGTTGGCTTGCATGACTCTGGAAGTGCTGAATAAAAACACTGTCAATCGCACTTTAGTCAGCACTGCTCATGAGTGTATCAAAACCAATGCTAGTATACGAGGGCCAAGACCACATTCAACAATCAAACGCTTAAACCACAAATGCTGCTTAAAGGAGTAGTTCACTTCTGAAAAAACTTTTGCTGATGATTTACTCGCCCCCATGTCATCCAAGATTTCCACGTCTTTCTTTCTTCAGTCGAAAAGAAATGAAGGTTTTTGATGAAAACATTCCAGGATTTTTCTCCATATAATGGACTTCAATGGGGTCCAAACGGTTCAAGGTCCAAAAGAGAGTTTCAGTGCAAACTGCAAACTTGTTCAAAGGGCTTTAAACGACACCAGACGATGAATAAGGGTCTTATCTAGCGAAACGATCGCTCATTTAATAAATAAATAAGTTTTATAAGCTCAAATGCTCGCCTTGCTCTGTTCTGTGATGCACGTTCGTGACTCTCCTGTTCGAACTCGTTTATCAAAATGAACGAATCTTTTTCCAAGTCATTTGGTTAATTCAACTAACGAAACAAATGAATTGACTCGGAAAAAGATTCGTTCATTTTGATGAACGAGTTCGAACAGGAGAGTCACGAACGTGCTTGATAAGACATTATCAGATTCATCGTCTGGAATCGTTCAGTTTGCACTGAAACTCTCATTTGGACCTTGAACCGTTTGGACCCCATTGAAGTCCATTATATGGAGAAAAGCCTGGAATGTTTTAATGATTATCAAAAACCTTCATTTCTTTTCGACTGAGGAAAGAAAGACATGGACATCTTGGATGACATGGGGGCGAGTAAATTATCAGCAAAAGTTTTTTTAAAAGTGAACTACTCCTTTAAACACCGCACAAAGATGTGACGAAAAGTCTGACAGATACAAACTAGTCTATTTCAAGGGTGCGGAAAGAGCCAGATTTCCGAGGATTTCCGAGTAACTGAAACCACTCATCTGAAATTTTCTTTGGTCATTTGATGCCTACATCAAGAGTGTGTTTCAGGAAAACTTCAAATTCAATGTTTGTACGAAACGTGACCTTCTCAGACCTTAAACTCTATGTTTTAATTCCCACCCTACTTTTCTTTCTCAATCAATATCCTCCTGGTTCACTCTGAAAGTCACATTACAGACGCCAAATTTAAGATGAGAACAGAAAAACACAGATCTCTTTATGCTTCCCTGAACAGGAAGTGTTACAGTAGTTTAAGTGACTTCCTGTTATGCCAAAGCAGCCAAGAAAAAGAGGGAGAGAAACAGAAAGCTAGAGCTAGAGCTAGAGCCACACAGATCACAGACAGAAATGCACAGAAGAGATTCATCTGATTTACATTTACAACTTATCCATGCATTGTTTATTTTTTTCCCAGTTAATGCATTCCCTAGGAATCAAACCCATGGCATTAGCATCACTAGCACCATTCTCGAGGAAAGCAAACAGAAAAACCTACATTTATTCAGACACCTTCAACCTTTCTCACAGTTTATTCGCTATAGTTTAGAAAATGCTAATAAAATATGAGCAGAACTGGTTTTGTCCGTCCTTCTGTTGGACTCTCACACATGAATTATGTTGAATATCTGTTAAATTTAACTACACAATTAGATAATACCAGTTTAGCTCAACCAGTGACCAAGCAATGCTTCATGTTGTTCAGTGTGTGTGTGTGTGTGAAAAGAGAAACAGAAAACACACGGAAGAAAACATCATCAGCTCAAAGTGAACTGTAGTGTCCTGCACACACTAGTAACAAAAAAAAAAAAATATATATATATATATATATATATATATATTTTATATATAAAATATAAAAATATATATATACAGTATATCTGGTGTCTGAATCTGGTGTCATTTTTGGTTTGAATGTATTCAAAGATGCATAAATTAGGATGAATAATAAAGAAAAAGGTACAATAAAAGGCACACATGTAAATCCAAAAAAACAAAACAGGGAGCGCTTCTTCCAGTGAGAAACACACAGCTGTTGGCCGCTGAGAGGATTCAATGAGCGGTCTGTGTCGAGGCCTTTCCTTCACAGCTGGACACACACACTTAACCCTATTCACTATTCATTACAACACCCCAAAATACACACAAAGCCCACTCTCACGGGCTCACCCTTCATCTCTGACGCCAGTGTGTGTGTGTTTATGAAGCCTTCTCTGGGTCTAAACTGCACATTGATAAACTGGCCTTTCTCTGTTTAGTTTGTTACGACTTTAAATAGCGCCGTGCACCAAACCCAAGACTGACAAACCATTTATACACTCTCAGAAAAAAAGGTACAAAAGCTGTCACTGGGGCTGTACCTTTTCAAAATGTACACTTTTGTACCCAAAGGCTGCATATTGGTACCTTAGTGGTACATATTAGCACCTAAAATTAACATATTTATAATATTAATACATTAGCTCATAAAAATGTACATATTAACATTTAAAATGGACATATTAACACCTAAAATGGACATATTAGCTCCTGAAAAGTACATATTAACATTTAAAATGTACATATTAGCACCTAAAATGGACATATTAGCTCCCGAAATGTACATATTAAAACTTAAAATGTACATATTAGCTCCTGAAATGTACATATTAACATTTAAAACGTACATATTAGCACCTAATATGTACATATTAGCACCTAAAATGGACATATTAGCTCCTGAAATGTACATATTAACACTTAAAATGTACTTATTAGCACCTGAAATGTACTTAAATTGTACATACAGTATTAGCACCTAAAATGTACATATTAGCACCTAAAATGTACATATTAACACCTAAAATGTACATATTAACACTTAATATGTACATATTAACACCTAAAATGTACATAATAGCACATTTAAAATGTACAAATTAGCACCTAAAATGTACATTTTAGCACCTAAAATTTACATATTAGCACCTGAAATGTACATATTAAGTTATTAACACTTAAAATGTACATATTAACACTTAAAATGTACAAATGAACACCTAAAATGTACATATTAACACCTAAAATGTACATATTAACACTTAAAATGTACAAATTAACACCTAAAATGTACATATTAGCACCTGAAATGTACATATTAACACTTAAAATGTACATATTAGCAACTAAAATGAACAAAAGTTTACCTTTTGAAAAGGTACAGCCCCAGTGACAGCTTTTGTACCTTTTTTTCTGAGTGTAGACCTCTTTAAATCTCTTCTTTAAACATGCATTTACTTGATTATTCATTTTATTTTTGTATTTAAAGTGTAGTTTTCTCTGTTTGCCTGTAAAGCGCTTTGAGAAAGCAACTTTTATAAAGGCACTATATAAAATAAATGCATCATTATTATTATAGTATCGACTCGGCTGATTAATCAAACAGCATTCTTACATCATTGGAGAAGTATAATACAGATACTAAAACACAGATAAAGTGTATTTTTTCAGGGTTTCAGATGCGTGTCTTTGTGTTAAACTGCATCAAACACAGATCAGATTTATAGTCAGTGTGTTGAACGATAAAATGTGACTGAAAAGGCGTCTTTGTTTGTGTGTTTGTTTACAATGTTTGGCAGCGTGAATTAATTAGTGAGAATGTTTGCTGAGAATATTCACGGCGTAACGGTTAAAGAGTTTTTCCCAGAATGCCGATCTCTCCCCCCTTTATTCCCCCATATAATTTGAGACATCCGGTCGCTGTATTTGCTCTCATCTGCCCTGAAAACACAAGCCAAACTATTAATAATCACATCGAGAGAGACTGAAAACATGCAAGCAGATCTTCTGTTTCAGGACACCTATATCTCAACGCATCAGAACAGCAATAATAAAGCCCAAATAAACATGCATGAACATTGAAGACGTCACCTCTGAGCTCAGATCAGATCGCTCCTAAACATCTGCAGTTAACATCTGAGTAATACACCGATATCTGATGGTCTTGAGCAGAGACACTAGACCAGTGTGTGCATCTGAAGGCCTCGATGTGAACTTGCACAGTCTGTCCTGTTCTCGGTTGAGCTTCTTATCGCAGTAATTCGTCAGATTTATCGCCACTTCAGTTTCACACAGAAAAGCACTGGACATGGAACAGAAACGGCCCATTATTTCCTCGTTTAGCTCTGACACTGGAAATACTGTTTTCTGCACATTTTTGAGTGTGTGTTGAAGTTGTTTCTGCAATGCTCTATTTTGTCGATTGGAAGTGTGTCTCATCTCTGTTTATGTCTGGATTATACAATTAAACACAAGGCCAGAACAGCATTATCAGTGCATTAGTCTGGCCAGATGCTGACAGCTGCATTTCTGCTTACATATTTTCCCAGAGTGCCTCACACTGCACATTACTCCTGTCTGGAAGCAGGCCCACAGAATCAGCTTCCCAGAAGACCAAAGCAAAATACTTGCTTTTGCTTTTTGGTATATGCTGTAAGCAACATAA